AAGGACAAAAAGAAACCAGTTGCCAATGTGGGGAATGGATGAAGGGGATATTATGACCCGTTCCACCCACATGGATTTGACAAGTTAGTTGAAATGGGCCAATTCCTTACAAACCACGAATGACCAAAATTCACCTAAGATGAAGTAAATAACTTGTATAGTCCTGTAACACATTAAAATATTAGTGGAAAATCTTTCAAGAAAGAAATACGGAGGCCTAGATGGTTTCACTGGAGAATTCTACTAAACACTTAAGTAAGAAATAGCACCAATTCTATGCAATCTCTTCTGAAAATATAGAAGTGGGGATTTGGAACACTTCCAAATTCATTTTGTGAGGCCAGCATCACCCGATACCAAAATCAGACAGAAGCAATGTAAGAATAGACAACTACAGACCAATATCTCACATAAACAAACACACAAAGAACCCTCAACAAAATATTAGAAAGTTGAATCCAGTAGTACTGACTGCAATCCTTCCAAGAGCCCCAAAGAACTGGTGGGCGCTTCCTCCATATTCTCCCTCTGACTCACCCCAATAGTAAAATCAAGTTGGCAGAATTTCCCTGGAAGGAGCTGGCATCTAGCTGCCACCGGAGGGATGGGCCCCCAAATCACCTACTTTTTGATAGCCATTGGGACTTGTGTTCATGAGTCCTACAGGATCACAGCAAACAAAGAAGCCGTTTCTAAATGAGCACAGAAACACCCTCTGTGGCTACATACCCAGATTCAGCACAGAGGAAGGAGAAGATATGCCCATGTCTTAGCTGCTGCCTGAGGGTCCAGCTTCTAATCACCACCCATCTAGGTGCTGATGGCGAGCCACCTGTTTGGGACACTAATGAGTCTCGGCACATCCTCAACTACCGGATGCCACTAAGAGCAAAGACGGCAGATTGGACAATCACAAAGGTTTGAGGAGCAACCAGGAACTCGGGCCAGGCAGACTGATAAGGTTCACGTCCAACACGAGACCAGTCTGTCAAGACTGGGAGAGGTGGCTATTTTATCTAACGCGCAGAAACCAACATAGAGAATCAAGGAAAATGAAGAAGAATATGTTCTAAACAAAAGAACAGAATGAATCTCCAGATATTGATCTTAATGAAATGGAGATGAATGATTTACCCAATAAAGAGTTCACAATAATGACCATGAAGATGGTCACTGAGGTCATGAGAACAATGCATGAACAAAGTGAGAATTTCAACAAAGAGGCAGAAAATACAAGAAAGTACCAAACAGGAATCATAGAACTGCAGAGTACAATAACAAATGAGAAATTCGGTAGAGGGGTTCAGCAGAAGACTAGATTCAACAGAGAAAAGAATCCATGAACTCAAAGATACGGCAGTAGAATTCATCCAATCAGAGGGACAAAAAGAAAAAGAATGAGAAAGTGAAGAAACCTAAAGGAATTATGGGATGCCATCAAGGCGACCAATATATGCATTATAACACAATAGCAGTAGCCACGATATGGAAACAACCTACATATCCATGGATGGATGAGTGAATAAAGCAAATGTTATACACACGCACGCACGCACACACACACACACACGCACACACACACACATACACACACACTGGAATATTATTCAGCCTTGAAAACGAAGGAAATCCAGTCATTTCCTTCCTAGATGAACTTGGATGAACTTGGGGCCATTATGCTAGGTGAAATAAGTCAAACAGAGAAAGACAAATACTGCATGGTATTGCTTATATATGGAATCTAAAAAAAAGTGAAACTTACGGAAACAGTAGAATAGTGAGTGCCAGGGGCTAGAGGGTGGGGGAAATATGGGGAGGTTGGTAAAAGGGTATAAACTTTTGGTTATAGATGAATAAGTTACAAGGATCTAATGTATAACTTGGTGACTACAACTGGTAATACTGTATTGTATAATTGAAGTTTGCAAAGAGAACGGAGCTAAGTGCTCTCACACAAAATCTAAATCTATGAGGCCATGAATGTGTTAATTATCTCGATGGTAGGAATCTTTTCATAATATGTACATGCATCAAACCACCATATGCTTTAACTATGTTATCATTTTTTAAAGTTTATTTATTTATTTTGAGAGAGAGCACGAGTTGGGGAGGGGCAGAGAGAGAGGGAGAGAGAGAATCCCAAGGAGGCTCTGCACTGTCAGCGCAGAGCCTGATGTGGGGCTTGGACCCACGACCTGAGCCGAAATCAAGAGTCGGATGCTTAACTGACCGAGGCACCCTGGCACCTCTATATTACCCTTTGTCAATTATACTCTATAAAGCTGAAAAGAAACACAAGAAATGGATAAGCAAACTGTTACTTGCATACAGTAGAACATTACTCAGGAATAAAAAGGAATAAAAACACAATTTGTATGACTCAGAGGGTGAGTGAAAGAATCCAGTCTCAAAAAGTAACACACTGCATGATTTCATTTATATGACATCCTCTAAGAGATAAGACTGTAGTGGCAGGGAACAGACCAGCGGTTGCCAGGGGCTAGAGGTAGGGACAAGGAATAGCTAGCTACAAAGGGATTTGGTGAGAGATGTTTTTCTGGCCATGGAAATACTCTGTATCGTGATATGGGTGGCAGTTACATAAAAATAGGTGTTAAAATTCATGGAAATGTATGCCTTCCCCCTAAAAATTGATTTTGCTTTATGTTAGTCTAAAAAACAAAATCAGGGTGCCTGGGTGGCTCAGTCGTTAAGCGTCTGACTTCGGCTCAGGTCATGATCTCACGGTTTGTGAGTTTGAGTCCCATGTCGGATGAGCTCCAGCCCCGCATTGGGTGAGCTCGAGCCCCGCTTCAGGTGGACACGAGCCCCGCTTTGGGTAAAACACGAGCCCCGGGTGAGCCCCACTTCTCTCTCTCTGCCCCTCCTGGGATTCTCTCTCTTTCTCTCTCTCTCTGCCCCTCACTTACTTGTGCCCTCTCTAAATAAGTAAGTAAATAATAATAAAAAAAAACAAGATAAAAAAAAGAACAATCTACTAATCATGAATGCAGTGTTAGCATCCCTTGAGATAGAACTTACTGTCGCTCTGTCTTAACGCGCATGTGGAAAAGAAGACGCAGTGATTTGCTTAAGTCTGTGTTTCTCAAACTTCACCTGGGGATCGTGTTAAGATGCAGACTCGAATATGAGAGGTGGGTGGATGAGTCCTGAAATTCTCCACGGGATGCCAGTGCTGCTGGTCCACGGCCTCCACTTCGAGTAGCCAGGGGCTAATGTTTTCCACCTTGTAAATCAAGACCAAGATTCACATTCTGATGGTCAGAGACAGAGCCCAGTGCTCTTTCTATCCCACTACTGTTATCTCCAGAGATTTTTTTTCCTCCTGCTGCAGTTTGATAGAAGGTAACGCGGCAGTTAATTACAGGCTGCCAGTTCCAGCGTGCAGTGCTGTGCAGCAGGAAACAGAAAGCACCCTTTTTCACAGTCAGCTCTGGGTAGTTGTCTCACCTCCGGCAGATTTAACCGCAGGCACATCGTGCTTCGGGATTGAACTTGTAAAAAATAGTGGGTTGAGACTGATAAGCCCATTGTAGGCATCGCTGGGGCCCCTTGGAGGAGAAAGGAGAGGAGAAGAAAGAAGTGAGTGGGCTTAGGAAAGAGAATGCATGTAAACTGGACGAGGATGGAGGTTGGAGGGGGGAAATGCCTGGACTCCTTCTGCGGTCGGCTAGGGAATGATTACTATAATAAGGGAATCACAAGCATGCTGCTAATGCTTCCTGATCGGGAGCAAGCCACAGCTGCCCAGGTGGACTGCGGAGCAGCGCCTGTGCTGAAGAAGCCTGATGATGATTATTTATTTGCATCACGGAATCCTCATTTTGCAGGCCTGGCTGTCTCAGCCTGCACGCTGACTGGCTGTCCAGACATGCGGCCATCCCTGATGATGATGGATTTCGGAGTTAGCCCCACTCTCTTCCTTTGCTGAAGGCCCCATGCTCTTTAACAAGCATGCTGTAGAAACGTGTGTGACCGTCCTGCTCCTGGGATAGGGGGCCAGGGACTAGTGAGAGGCTCATAGCAGCGGGGCTTGGAATATTTGAGATGTGCACAGGACTCCTTCATGCTTCCCCGGTTTTGGTTTAAAAGGATATCCTGGGTTGTACTGGCAGAGGCTCCTTTCCTTTCCTTTTTTTTAAGTTTATTTATTTATTTTGAGAGAGAGAGAGAGAGAGAGAGCACAAGCAGGGGAGGGGCAGAGAGAGAGAGAGAAAGAGAGAGGGGGAGAGAAAGAGAATCCCAAGCAGGCTCAGCACTGTCAGCGCAGAGCCCCATGTGAGGCTCAAACTCATGAACGATGAGATCATGCCCCGAGCCAAAACCAAGTATCAGACGCTTAACTGACCGAGCCGCCCAGGAGCCCCTCCTTTCCTTTTTAATTTACTTTTTACAATGAGATATAACTTACATATAATAAAACAATAAATCTCAAGTTTGACAAATTTATATGTAAATTTGTATGTAACCTGCCATAGGATCTTGAAACTCTTTATCAACCCTGTAGACAGAATATGGCCAGTGCTCATCGCACAGTGGACATGCTAATGGGAATCACCGTCATGGTAGTGAATCAAATTCCACTGGCTTTTGTCCCATCACTGATAGAGACCCTCTCTCCAAGTGGCCCTTCTGGAGATGTTCTTTATGTGCTCAGGAAGGAGTCTTTCTTACTGCATCAGTTATTTGTGCGGTGTTGCTGCATAGCTTATCAACTCAAAAACCTCCATGGCATTCAACTGCATTTATGGTCCACGCAACTGGGGGGTATGATGAGCACTGGCTGATCTAGGCTGGGATTCTAATTCTTCTTGGCTAGAGATTGGCCAAGCGAGGCTGGGTCCAGCTGGGATAACGGCTGCATTCCACGTTAGAGCATGCTGTCCCGGACCCGTTTTTCTCATGGCGATGGCAAAAGAATGAGAAAGGAGAATGGGAGCCGGCGCGCTATCTCTTCTGCCTTGTTCTTTTGGACACAGCGGTCAATGGCTGAACCCAGGATCAAGGAGTACACTCCGCCTCTCGATGGCAAAGGGTGCGGATACGAGGAATGACATAGCATCGTGGTCGTTGACGCCATGCGTCACACTTGCCGAGAGATGCTGCTTTCCCTCTTTCATCGGGCGCCAGAATCTCCCACCAGGTACCACCACTGCTCCACGCCATGGGCGGGCCCACAGGGGAGGCGCCAGACTCATGTCAGGCCCCAAGCTGTCGGGGGGAGGAGAGGAGAATGCAGTGCTCCCTTCTTTGTTATAACCTGGGTCATAGATGCTTATCACCCTGAATCTCTTAGAAACCTTAATAAAATGGTTTCTTACTTATGGCCCTTCTCTCTCTAGGAACGGTGTCACCCTTAGTGTTGGGATGGGAGGAATTTAAGTGAGAGCCCCTAGGTGTACTCAGAACGGTTGCTCTCCTCCAAGAATGTGGTCAAACTGGAGTCTGTCTTCTTCCCCAAGACAACCTCGGGGAATACTAATGAGGTCGTATCAAGTTTCTTTGTTTCGTTAACAGATCTCCAGCCATTTCAGCACGGTTTGGGCCTAAAATATAGAAATCTGCTCTCATGATGACTGTCCAGTTAATGACTTTTTGTCATAACAGCTTTTAGAATTTATTTATTTATTATTTATTTTTATTTATGTTTATTTTTACTTATTCCAGCTTTATTTTATTTTTATTATATATATACAGTATACTGTCAAGTTAGCTAATATACAGTGTATACTATGTGCTCTGGGCTTCGGGAGTAGATTCCCGTGATTCATCACTTACATATAACACCCAGTGCGCGTCCCAACAAGTGCCCTCCTCAGTGCCCATCACTCATTTTCCCCGCCCCCCACCCCCTTTCACCCTCAGTTTGTTCTCTGTATTTAAAAGTCTCTCATGGTTTGCCTCCTTCTCTGTTTGTAACTATTTTTTTTTCTTTTCCTTCCCCCATGATCTTCTGTTAAGTTTCTCAACTTCCACATATGAGTGAAAACATATGGTATCTATCTTTCTCTGACTTATTTAACTTAGCATAATATTCTCTGGTTCCAACCACATTGCTGCAAATGGCAGGATTTCATTCTTTTTCATTGCTGAGTAGTATTCCATTGTACATATAAACCACATCTTCTTAATCCATTTGTCAATGGGTGGACATTTGGGCTCTCTCCATAATTTGGCTATTGTTGAAAGTGCTGCCATAAACATTGGGGTACATGTGCCCCTCTGTATCAGCACCCCTGTATCCCTTGGGTAAATTCCTAGCAGTGCTATTGCTGGGTCACAGGGTAGATCTATTTTTAATTTTTTGAGGACCTTCCACACTGTTTTCCAGAGCGGCTGCACCAGTTTGCCTTCCCACCAACAGCGCAAGAGGGTTCCCGTTTCTCCACATCCTCGCCAGCATCTGTTGTTTCCTGAGTTGTTAATGTTAGCCACTCTGACCAGAAATTTTTTATTTTTTTAAGTTTATTTACTTTGAGAAAGAGTAAGCACAAGCAGGGGAGGGGCATAGAGAGACGAAGAGAGAGAATCAGAAGCAGACTCCGTGCACTGTCAGCGTGGAGCCCTATGTGGGGCTCGATCCCACAAACCGTGAGATCATGACCTGAGCCGAAATCAAGAGTCTGCAGCCTAACCGACTGAGCCACCCAGGCACCCCAACAGCCTTTTCTTTTGCCATTATTCATCTATTTTATTTTGTTCTGATATAATTTTCTCACCTCAAAACACAATAAATACACTTTAATCAAAAAGAATGAAATCTTGCCATTTGCAACTACGTGGATGGACCTGGAGGGTTATTATGCTAAGTGAAATTAGTCAGAGAAAGACAAAAATCATATGACTTCACTCATATGAGGACTTTAAGAGACACAACAGATGAACATAAGGGAAGGGAAACAAAAATAATGTAAAAACAGGGAGGGGGCAAAACAGAAGAGACTCATAAATATGGAGAACAAACTGAGGGTTATGGGAGGGGTGGTGGGAGGGGGGGATGGGCTAAATGGGTCAGGGGCACGAAGGAATCTACTCCTGAAATCATTGGTGCACTATATGCTAACTAATTGAGATGTAAATTTTAAAAAATAAAAAAATAAAAAAAAAGAAGTGATATTTTGACCCAATACTTCCAGGGAATTCAGCAAATTAATTGAAACATCAGTTTTTAGTCAGAGTATATCATATGGCACACATTTGTATCGTATACCACGTTTGGATGAGGCCAAAATGTTTGGCCTTGCATCCGTAGACTTATCGGCTTTTCTCTGTTGTCCGTGTGCATTGCTTCCATGTTTCTAAAACACTCTTCTGCTTAGTCTTTATTTTGTCCTGGAGTGTTTTTGTCTGTGCTGTAACATTACTTTTAAGGCACTTTAAATGCAGGATGACCATGAGCCCAAGCAGGTTGAAAAAGTGAACAGAATGGTAGAGAAAGAATGCCTCTTCCAAAGAATGACTCCCTTTCACCGTTCCTCCGGCATTGACCGCTGCTATCGAATCTTCTTCCATTGACAAGAGCAGGAAAGTTTCAGGATCTGACATGTATGTACCTACTGTGCTTATTTTCTTTCAAGTTTATTGGTAGAAACCTATGTTATTGTTTAATTGATGTATGTTATCTCTCCATGGATATTCTTCCCGTATATTAGGTTGAGATGGAACACGTAATCTTCCTTATTAAAATAAGTGGGATTTCTGGCATTGGGCTTTCAGACAAAATGGGAACCCTGGAAAAACTACATGAAGCAAACAGCAGAAGACACTGAAAACAAATTTTTTTTTTGACACTGAAATTTTTTTTAAAAAGTGCTTTGTTGGAGTGCCTGGCTCAGTCGGTTAAGCAGCTGACTTCAGCTCCGTTTGTGATCTCACGGTCTGTGAGTTCGAGCCCCGTGTCAGGGTCTGTGCTGACGGCTTGGAGCCTGGAGCCTGCTTCGGACTCTGTATCTCCCTCTCTTCCTGCCCCTCCCCCCCCAAAAGTAAATGAACATTAAAAAAATTTTTTTAAGGTGCTTTGTCTAGGAATCTTGGTATTTGAGACCTCTATATTCTGGCCTGGATACCATAGAAGCTCACAAGCCAGAAACGCCAAGCACAGAGAGGTCAAATCAAATCGATAAAACAAGGGAGGCCTTTTCTCTCTACCTGAAAACTAGGGAGAGTGGAAGCCTTTCCAGAATAAAACCTTTGTGACACATGAGCCTTATACCATCCGAACACCGCAAAAAGCATGTGTCGTCCCCCGTGCCACTGTGCATGACAGCCAACACCAGGACTGTGGGAGAACCCCCCTTTCAACCATCCCAGTCTGGCAGTAATATGGCAGCAACCCTGTCTCCTGATACGTAGTGATCAACAGAGCTTGTGTGTGAGCAGAGCCCTGACTACCGTCCTGGCTTAGTAGCAATGAGGCAGGACCCGCCTCATTGCCACTAAGAAAAATGGATAAGTTTCCGACATTTAACTTGAAGTGGTAAAATGGTGATACTAATAGACTGTGGTAAGTTACATATTTATATTGTAATTCCTTGAGCAACCACTTAAGAAAACTCTACAAAGAGATATACTCAAGCCTACAGATAAAGCAAAATGTAATACTAAAAACATTTAAATCACCTGAAAGGAGGCAGGAAAAGGGAAGCAAGCAAAAGCCAAATAAAACAGATAAGGAGGGCACTTATTATGCTGAGCATTGGGTGTTTTATGTAAGTGATGAATCTTTGACGTCGATTCCTGAAACTAATATTGCACTGTGTGTTAACTAACTAGAATTCAAATAAAAATTAAAAAAAGAAAACAAATAATAAAATGCCAGACATAATTCCTAACATCTCAATAATTGTATTAAACATGAATAGTATACGTATACCAAGTAAATGATAGTAATTGACAGAGTGGGGAAAACAGTGATCCAGCTCTGTGCTCTCTACGGGAAATTTATTGCAAATATGCTGATATAGATAGGTTAAAAATAAGTGGAATGGAAAAAAATATACCACGGAAACACTAATCAAAGGAAAGCTAGCTATACTAATATATTGGTATCCATATTATCCCGATATCAGATCAAGTAGACTTAAGAGCAAAAAAAATTACCAGGGACAAAGATAGATACTCCATGATGATAAAAAGATCAATCCACCGAGACATAACAATTCTAACTGTGTATTGCCAAATCACGATGCTACAAAATTCATGAAACAAAAATTAACACAACTGAAAGGAGAAATAGAAAAGCCACAATTATACTGCGGGATCTCAATAACTCTGTCTCAATAATTGATAGAGCCACTACGCAGAAAATGAGCAAAGATTTAGAAGAACTGAAAAATACTATTAGCCACAGGATTTAACTGATATTTAGAGAACACTGCATCCAACAAGTGGAATTCGAATTCTTTGCAAGTATACATGAACAGCCACAAAGATACACCAGATCCCGAGTAAAACAAAACATAACAATAAATCAAAAAGAATTAAAATCATTTTTTAAATGGCTAAGAAATGGAATATCACTCAGCCGTAGCAAAGAATGAAATCTTGCCATTCACAACACGGATGCTGAGTGAAAAAAGTCAGAAGAAGACAAATACCATACGATTTCATTTCTATGTGGCATCTGAGACACAAGAACACACAGAAACAGACTCATACATGCACAGGACAAACTGGTGGTTCCCAGAGAGTAGGGGAGTGGGGGAATGGGCAAACTAGGTGGTGAGGATTAAATGGTAGAAGCTTTCAGTTATAACATAAGTAAGTCATGGGAATGAAAAGTGTAGCATAAAGGGTATAATCAATCATATGTAATAATATTGAATGTTGACAGATGGTGGCTACACCTATCATGGTGAGCACTGGGTAGTGTATAGAATTGTCAAATCACCATGTTGTACTCCTGAAACGAATACAATGTTGTATGTCAACTATACTTCAATTAAAAAAAAAAAGCATGGAAATCATATAGAGTATCCTCTCTGATCACAATTGAATCAAACTAAAAATCAACAGAAAGACAACTGGTGAATCTCCAAAAAGTCAGGAATTAAACAACACAATACTACGGGCGCCTGGGTGTCTCCGTCGGTTAAGAATCCGACTTCGGCTCAGGTCATGATCTCAAACCTCGTGAATTCGAGCCCCGCGTCAGGCTAGGTGCTGACCGCTCAGAGCCTGGAGCCTGTTTCAGATTCTGTGTCTCCCTCTCTCTCTGACCCTCCCCTGCTCACGCCCTGTCTCTCTCTCTCTCTCTCTCTCAAAGATAAACATTAAAAAAAAAAAAAAAAGATTCTAAACAATTCATGAACAAAAGAAGTGGTTTGGAGGACAATCAAAATCAACATAGAACTGAATGAGAATGAAAATGCAACATATCAAAACCTATGGAATGCAGCTAAAGCAGTGCATAGGAGGAAATTTATAGCATTAAATGCGTATATTTGCTAAGCACAGAGGTCTCAAATCAATAATCTAAACTTTCATCTCAACAAAGCAGAAAAAGAACAATAAACCCGAACCAAACAAATGGAAGCAAATAATGAAAGCAGAAGTAAATGAAATTGAAAACAGGAAAACAGTAGAGAAAATTAATAAAAAGAAAGCAGATTCTTCAAAACTATCAATAAAATTGACAAGCCTCTAGAAAGACTAACAGAAAAAGAGAAGTCACAAGTGGGACTAAAAGGAAATATCACTGTGGACACCGAAGGCATTAAATAATAGTTAGGTAATATTACAGACAACGTTGCACACATAAATTTAACTAAGTACAATAAAAGAAAATTACAAACCAATATCCCTCATTTACACATACACAAGAATTCTCAGCAAATTAGCAAACCAAATTCAGCAATATATAAAAAGAATCCTATACCAAAAGTAAGGGGACTTATTCCAGGAATGCAAGTGTTGTTCGGTATTTGAAAATCAATCAGTGCAATCCACCGTATATTAACAGGCTAAACAGGAAATACCACACAATTATATTAATTGATGTAGAAAAAGCAATTGATGGACTCCAGCTTCCATTTCTGAGAAACACTTAGGAAAACTAGGACTTGAAAGGAACTTGAACATCCTTACCCTGATGAAGGACACTAAGAAAAAATGGATGGCTGGGGTGCCTGGGTGGCTCAGTCGGTTAAGCATCCCACTTCAGTCCAGGTCATGATCTCATGGCTCATGAGTTTGAGCCCCGCATTGGGCTCTGTGCTGACAGCTTAGAGGCTGGGAGGCGCTTTGGATTCTGTGTGTGTCTCTCTCTGCGCCTCCCCCATTTACGCTCTGTCTCTCTCTCCTTCAAAAATAAACATCAAAAAACGTTTTGTAAATGTATGGCTAACATCATACATAATGCGAAAGACTGAATCCCTTTCCCCTAAGATCAGGGACAAGGCAAGGATGTCTACTCTTACCAGTCATACTTAGCTGCAAGCCTTAGCTTGTGCAATAAAGTAAGAAAAGGAAGTAAAAGACATAGCAATTAGAAGATAAGAAATAAACTCCTGCTATTTGTAGATGACATAAGCCCCAATAAATGTATAGGAAAACTCCAGACTAATAAGTGATTTTAGCAAGGTGAACATACAGAAGTTAGTCACATTTTTATATGCACATGTTGCGCATGTTTATATGCAAACAACAAAGTATCAGAAAACAAAACAAAAAATACAGTACCATTCAGAATTGTCTCACAAAAAGGAACACCCAGTTATAAATCTAACAAAACACATATAGATGCTATGCTAAAAACTTTAGAACTTTCATGAACGAAATTAACAAAGATATGAATAAATGGAGAGAGAATACTATGTTTATGGATTGGGAGACTTGACATAGTAAAGATATTAGTTCTTCTGAAATTGATCTGTATATAGATTCAACAGAATTTCTGTAAATATCCCGACAATATCTATGGAAAGACCATGAACTAAAATAGCTAAAACAATGCTGAGAAAGAAAAATAAAAACAGGAATTACACTGTGGAATGTTAAGGCTTACTATATACTTACAGTAATTAAGACAGTGTGGTATTAGTGGAGGGAAAAAGAGGGAGAAAGAGAGATATGGCTTGATCAGTGGAAAATAATAGAGAACCCCCAAATAAGCTCATGTAAATATGTCCAACTAATTTTTTGTGGGAAGGCACTAAAGCAGTTGGGTGGAAAAAGAATGATCTTCAACAAATGGTGCTGGAACCATTGGCCATCAATAGGCAAAAAAATGAACCTCACCTCCTATGCAAAAATAACCCAAAATGGATTATATATCTCAATGTCAATGCAAAACTATAAAATTTATAGAAGAGAACAAAAGAAAACACCTTTGTTACCTAAGGAATGCTTAGATGGGACCCCACAATAAACCATCCATAAAGAAAAGGCACACATTCAGAGAAAATATTTAGAAATCACATATCTGAGATTGGACTCATGTCTAGAATGTATGAATAATTCTTTAAACTCAACAGTGAGAAAACATACAAACCACTTCAGGAGATCAGGTCATGTGTATAGGAGAACTCCTTATTATTTTTGCAATTTGTGTGAGCCTATAATAATTACAAAATAGAAAGTTAATATTCTTTGCTGTCATACTGTAAATTACAATCTCTCCTATCTTGATATATTTTCTTTATTTTCATAGTAAGGAAGTTTTAAAAAATGTTTTTATGTATTTATTTTGAGAGAGAGAGAGAGAGAGAGAGGCAGAGAAGGGAGGGAGAGAGAGAATCCCAAGCAGGCTCTGTACTGTCAGCCCAGAGCCCAATGCGGGGCTCAGTCTCACAAACTGTGAGATCATGACCTGAGCCGAAATCAAGAGTGGATGCTTAATCGACTGAGCCATCCAGGTGTCCCTTAAGGAAGTTTTTGAATGAAAGTATGCTTGCATGAAAATTTGTTCATGGAATAGTATCACACTAAACAACAGGGCTTTCGGGAAGTAAAGTCATTAAAGGAGGACAAGAGTATAGTCGTGCATCTCTTTTGGGTGAACTGACCCGTATGGTTCAGAATGTTACATTTGGGGTAGACCCTTGTGACATACCTGCATCCAGTTCTGTTACAAATCATTCTGTTACAACTCTACAGAGAAGTTCTTGTACCCTGTTTCAGTTCACTTTCGCCGCATGACAAATCAACTTAGTTTTCTATCGCCATGTAACAAACTGACCCAAAATTAGGGACTTGAAAAAATCCTCATTTATTAGCTTAGCAGTTCTGTGGGTCAGAAGCCCAGCACAGCGTGGCTGTGTTCCTCGATCAGAGTGTCACAAGGCTGACGTCAAGGTGACAGTTAGTCTGACTTCTAATCTCAAAACTCTGGGGGAAAACTTGGCTTCTGAGATCATTCTTGCTGTTGGTAGAATTCAACTGCTTGAAGGTGAGGTAGAATTGAGGCACCATTTCCCTGTAGGCTATCAGCTGGGGACCATTCTTGGCTGCTAGAGGCCACCTGTAGTCTTTGCTGTGTGAGCTTTTCCACCTTCAAGCCAGCAGCACGTCATCATCGTTCTTGTGCTTTGAATCTCTGACTTCTGCTTCCAGCCGGAGAAAACTCTCTACTCTTACAGGGCTTATAAGATTAGGTCAGATCCACCCAAGATAATCTTCTTTCCTTTTTATTTATTGTGGCGAAAAACACATAACATAAAATTTATCATCGCAACCATTTTTAAGCGCACAGGAGAGTGGCGTTAACAAAGGCACGTTGCTGTGCAATAGCTCCTTAAAACTCATTCATCTTGCAACACCAAAACTCTATATCCATTGACCAGCAGTTCCTCATTTTCCCCCTCCTGCTGGTTCCTGGAAACTGCCATCCTCTTTCTGTGTCTAAGAGTTTGACTACTTTAGATACCTCATGTAAGTGGAATCACGCAGTGTTTTTCTTTTGTGACGGGCTTATCTCACTTAGTACAATGTCCGCAAGGTTCATCGTGTTGTAGCGTATGACAGGATTTCCTTCTTTTTCAAGATTTTATTATTTTTTTATTTTTTAACACTTATTCATTTTTGATAGAGAGAGACAGAGTGCGAGCAGGGGAGGGACAGAGACAGAGGGAGACACAGAATCCGAAGCAGGCTCCAGGCTCTGAGGTGTCAGCACAGAGCCCTACGCGGGGCTCAAGCTCACAAACCGCAAGATTGTGACCTGAGCCGAAGTCGGACACTTAACCAACCGAGCCACCCAGGCGCCGTTAAAGATTTTGTTTTTAAGTAATCTCTACAACCAATGTGGAGCTTGAACTTACAACTCTGAGATCAAGAGTCACATGCTCTACCAACTAAGCCAGCCAGGCACTCCAGGATTTCCTTCTTTTTTTTTTAAGTTTATTTATTTATTTTGAGAGAGAGAGAGAGAGAGGCAGAAAGTGAGTAGGGGAGGGGCAGAGAGAGAGAAGGAAAGAGAGGATCCCAAGCAGGCTCTTCGATGCCAACGCAGAACCCAATGCAAGGCTTGAATTTACGAACTGTGAGATCATGACCCAAGCGGATACCAACAGTCAGATGTTTAACATGACTGAGCCACCCAGGTGCCCCTTTCCTTCTTTTTTAAGGCTGAGAAACATTCCAGTTGTGTTTGCATGTGCACAGGCGTGTGTGTGTGTGTGTGTGTGTGTGTGTGTGTGTACGTGTGTGTGATCAGTTTCTTTATCCATTTATCGATATGGTTGTTTCCATATCTTGGCTACAGTGAATAATGCTGCAGCAAGCATGTACACGCAAATATCTCCTCAAGATCTTTTTTCCATTATTTTGGGCATATAACCAGAAGTGGGACTGCTGGATCATATGGTAAGTCTATTTTAAATTTTTTGAGAAACTTCCATGCTGTTTTCCATAGCAGCTTAAACGTTTTAAATTTCCACCAACAGTGCACAAGGATTCTGATTCCTTTGCATCCTCACCAACACTTGCTATTTTCTGTTTCGTGTTTGTTTTTTCCTAGTGGCCATCCTAATGGGCGTGAGGTATTATCTCATTGTGGTTTTGACATGCACTTCCCTGATGGTTGGTAGTGTTGTGCATCTTTTCATATACTTGTTGGCCATTTGTGTGTTTTCTTTGGGGAAATGTAAAATGTGAGGTTCCATGGCTATTCTCCAGGCTGCTGGGTTTTAGGAGGCACTAGTGGCATTCTTCTTTATTCTGGTTTCCTGATCCTTGGATCACAGTTACGATGCTCTGTTTTTTAAGTGTATTTATTTATTTTGAGAGGGAGAAAGAGAGAACATGGAGGAGGGGCAGAAACAGGGGAAGAGAGAATCCCAAGCAGGCTCCGTGCTGTTGGTGCAGAGCCCGACGTGGGGCTCTATCTCATGAACCGTGAGATCGTGACCTGAGCTGAAATCGAGGGTCAGGTGCTTAACTGACTGAGCCACCCAGGTGCCTCTATAATGCCCTGGTTTTGAACTCAGGATTCCTGTGGTAACCTAAAAGGCTGCACTACTCTGATAGGCCAGTACTGTCTCAATGATTCCACAAATCATTCATGGGGGTGCAGCTTATGAAGCACTCCTTCAGGCATTCCAGTGATATTATAAGCCTGCAATCCCCTATATTAAATTCCTGCTTTTGCATAACACAGGGGTTTCTGTTTCTTGCAATGGATCCCAACTGTTACTTCTTCTAAAACACCTATCAATGAAGCATACGTGCTTCTGCCAAAATAAGCAAGTACCTCTTTGGATGTCAGCCCTACCCAGGCATTTTCCTCCTCTTTACCCTGCCATCTTGGTTGTATCTTTAGTCGAGCAGCCACGGAGGATATTGGGAGGACCACATGGACAGGCAAACAGGAATCTTCCATGTGGCTAATTCCTTCTAAGCCTCCAGAAGGAGGGCTTTAAAACAAAGATCTGGACCATCAAAAGTTTTACAGGTTCGAGTTTGTGGCCACATTGGGAAATTAGCACTCTCACCTTCTTACGTTGTTAATTTCTTTTCCAAAGTTTTTGTTTGTTTGTTTGTTTTAACTGACCTCTGGTTAAGCAATGTTTCTCTAGAATTTAACTCAAGAGGAGGGATGGATATGGGCCAATGCTTTGGTTTGGCGATGCTAAGTGACTCCTGAATTGGGGTGTGAAAACCCAGGTGTTTACTTTCTACCTTTACCTGTGAATCTTTTTTCTGTCTAGCCCCAGATTTCAGTAAACAAGTGAAACTCAAAATCTGCATCTGAGGAGGAGATCCCATCAAGGCGACTGTTGTATTTCCATATATCACAGAAATATGTGTGGCTACGAGAACAGGAGGTGTAGGCAGGGCCAAGAAGTCTTGTTATGAGTGACAGGGTTCTTGGCCGTGGGAACACACCGTCAGGGAGAGACTTTAGGGAGAAATCCTTTCGATATTCGATGGCTAAATGCCTTTGGGTGGATTTTCAATCAGACCTCTTCCTTCAAACAAATTTCACTTTGTGATTAATGGCTCCATAGAAAGGATTCAGAGAATTAATAAAAGGACTAAAATATCTTAGTAGGCTAGAATTGTTCAAACTTGCTCTTGCCTATTTTTTTTCTAAAATCAGTAGAGAAAGGAAAATGATATGGGCTATATTTGGGTTGTAGAAATAGTGATCAAGGGCTTTCTTTTAAAGAGTGGCTTGAAAATGGGAGGAGCTAGACACACATACACATCGTTGGTGAGAGTGTAAATTGCCACAAGATTTCTGGAGGGCAGTCTGGCAATCTCTATCAAATTCTAAATGGGCCCCTCTTTTTTTATTAATTTTTAAAAATATTTTTATTTATTTTTTGAGAGAAAGAGAGACCGAGTGCAAGTCAGGGAGGGACAGAGAGAGAGGGAGACACAGAATCTGAAGCAGGTTCCAGGCTCTGAGCTGTCAGCACAGAGCCCGGCGCGGGGCTCGAACCCACGAACTGGGAGATCATGACCTGAGTCAAAGTCAGATGCCTAACCGACTGAGCCCCTGAGGCGCCTCTAAAGTGGGCTGTTCTTGATCCAAAAGTTTAAGCTGTAGAAATGTATCCTAAGGAGAGAATGAGGCAACTGCCAAAAGATGTATGTACAAGGATGTTCATTGAGGGGTTTTTTATAAAATATAAAAAATGGAAATAGCCAAGAGGTCTGTTGGTGGAAGATTACTTTTCAATGGGCTATTATGCTGAGTCAGGGGGATTCATATGTTTTAACATAAAAAGATATCTTTAATAAGCTGGGTATTGATAGAAGCTAGCTGGGGAGTGTTTTTTGTATAGCTGGTATATTTTTAATGATTTGTGTATTTTGGTACCTTTTATACTTGACTCACGACAGATGCTTAATAATATTTAGTGAATTAATTCATGTGAATCTATTTTTATAAACTCTTATATGCATTATACATTCTGGAAGGATATATGCCTCCCTGTTAATGGTGGCTATTTTTATCGTTGGGTGGCATTGAAGCCTGAGGCCATAGTGGAGATTATTAGAAGCAACTTTTACTTTCTAATTTCTCTTCTTTTGCATTATTTAAATTTTCAATAAACATGTGTTATTTTAAAATTGTATTTCCATTTTGAAACAGTATGGAGTTTTCAAATTTTGTAACCGGCAAATTTCTAGAATACACTAGAATTTGTGCAAGCCAAATAGAAAAAGGGAAACAACCCGATAGAATGGGCAAATAATACAAACAGGTTATTAACAGAATAGAAAAACTGGAGGACCCACAAATACATATCAAGGGGTCAACGTGAAATAATGCGGTACCACTTCTCGGCCAGTAGACTGGCACAACTTCAAGTCGGACAATGTCACAGATTTTCAAGAATGTAGGGAAACAGGGCCTCTCAGATGCTGCTGGTGGAACCATGAATCAGCTCAAGCATTTTGGACCGTGCCTGGGACGATGGAAGCTGCACGCTGCAGGAACCAACAATTGCACTAAGTGTATACCTTAGAAAGAATGTCTGCAGAAAGAGAGGTGCACATGTGTGAACCAAGGTTGTTTTGAATGGCTGTGCTCTCAGAGTGTCGGAGTGATTTGTGAAGAGAGTACCTCTGCCCAGGAGCCAGCAAGGAAGGAGGGGAGCAGGATAAAGGAGAGACAGGGCCGGGCAAGGGGGATTTCGAATCAGGTCCTCAGCCTCAGCTGCCCCAGGAGGGGAGCTCTGGGCTTTTGTTGCCTCGTGCCAGTCATTGGCTAAGGGACCCCTTGGAGGATAGAAATGATAGGTGCAAAAAAATATACTGGAATCTTAGTTAATAAACTCATGATATTCACTGAGGGGTGGGACAAGGAGTGGATCTTATCTATAACGTTTTACTGTTTTTTTTTTTTTAAAGCTGAAGACAATATAGCAAATATGAATACTAGCCAATCCCACGTGGTGCAAACATGAATGAAACCAGGGTCCTTGTCAAGGAGCCGGGGGGAATCCCCAAACTTGACTTGTGGTGGGAACCAGGGGGCTTCCTGGGCGTGTCACCCGCCTGGCCCTCAATTCCCCGGTGCTAGCCCAGAACTGGCACCTAGCAGGTGCTCAAAAAATAGCTAAGGATCCGTGCAGCTTTGGGACGCCTTAAAAGATTGTCACACAAATGACCGGGAGGCCTCGCGCCACTTTGCTACAGACCGCATCTTAACTTGGGCACTTTGGGGATCTTCTGTCTTGGTGGCCACACCCGGCAAAGATTTCAGAGTTTGAGAGGAACAGACGTGTTCATACACACCTGGGAGACACCCTCTGTACATTTCCAGAGAGGCCTGGGGTGGGGAGGCAGCTAAGGATGGTCATTTGTTAGTGGCTGAGACAGCTCCCAAGCAGGAGTGGGTCAACAATGAGCTCTTTTGGGGGTGGGAGAAACATCCAAAAATTTGTGCTACTGGTGGTGCAATTGTAAATATCCTAAAATCCACTGGATTGTTTACATAAAGGGAGCGAATTGCTGCTACGTCAGTTATCCCTCGATCGAGCTACTTTTTAAACATTGAGTTGTTCCTTAAGACCTTCATAGGGAGCAGACCTGGGATCGACCAGGGACCTGTGGCTTCTGAAGAGAACCCCCTATGCTTTTGTCCCATGGCGTGGCTTTCTATAGCATACACTCAAAATAGTTGTTAATACAGGCGGCATGTCACAAGTGGGTTACCGACATGCTGGGACATTCCGGAGCCTCACAGCCCTTGGGAAGGCTGCCCTGGGGGGCTGGGTGTAGAAAATCCTTTATCAATTGCCTCTGGCCAAGGGCATGTTCTACCATCTGCCCCAGCATGTTAGACAAAGAGTATTAATTGTCTTTGGGTGCTATGATATGGAACAAAAGAACCCAGAAAGTATTTCCCTAAAGAAATGCCATGTTTCTCAACCTTTTCTATGTTTCTTAATAAGAATCTGGGCCTTGTGGAGGGGAGAAGGGTGGTGGGTCACCTGCTGTTGGTGGATTTGGGGCTTTATGTAAGAAAAGGGTGTGGAGCTGGCTGGCTAGGAAAGGACGCCCTAGGTAAACGTGAGGGCGGCCAGCACCGACTATGGGAATCCACTTGGATGTTTCCTCTACCCCTGCAGAGAATTATGTTTATTCACCTGGAAAGCAGAAACTGTTGCTAACTGGAGCAGAAAAGTAATTTCCATTTGGATGTGGCAAAAGAAGTCCAGGGCATCAGAAGAGGAAGCCTCCTATAGCAGAGACAGGATCACCTTTGCCTGCATTTCCAAAGGCAGAAAGCTGGTCCGGGAGGAACTCTAAGACCCGAGGAGGCCACCTGGGAGGTACTGGAGGCGTGTGGAAATCAGAGTATCTTAGACCTGTCTTCGGTCAGATTTTAACAGCCCCTTACTAGGCTGCTCGGAGCTTGTCTTACTTCCACGACCTAACTATCTTTGGAAAAGGTTAGGACATCCATCCTTCCCAGAATCCAGAGATTGTGCAGGTGAGGGGCGTTTCTCAGGCACGTGCACTTTGCCACCAAAAGTCCTTTCTGGTGTCTTCGTTCGAGTTGCCCATGGCAGGCCCTAAGACAACGGATTGATTGTCATTTCTCCAGGAGGGATAGACAACGGATTGATTGTAAGTCATTTTTTCGGGAGGGCCAAGGAGTGAGGCAGGGAAGAGAAGGAAGGAGGCGACTGAAGGGTACGTCACCAAGCGGGTTACCACTCGGGGCAGTGGGAGCTGCTCCTGCTGGGGGATGTCTGGACACGGCACGGAGCGGCTCAGGTCTTCCGGTGTTCTGGACACCTGCTGCCACCTCTCTGGAAAGCCACAGAACTGGCAGCCATCAAGAGCACCGCGTAAATTGGCTGTTCCGATAGCATCATTCGTGGTCCACCCAGAGAAAGGCCGCGGCTGGAGGAGCTTTGCGCTGCCCTGCGAGAACTGGCTCATCTGCACCCATGCACTGTCTGAGGCCACCCGCGTCTGACAACAGAAGCCAGAGCCCCGGACCAGAGCCTCTGGCCACAGCCGTCACATCTGATTCCTAGGCCGCTCTGTCTCTAATCTGGAGGAGACTCAGTGGCCAAGATGTTTCTCAATTGTCTGGACGTCCTCACGAAATGACAGTAGAGGCTTTGGTCCTTCCTGCCTTCTCACCCCTGAGACACATGCTCTCTCTGGCAAGGCAGTGTAGCGCAGTGATTAAGAGCATGTGTGTGCAGGGGCCCCTGACTCTTGCTTTCCTCTCAGGTCATGATCTCATGGTTCGTGAGTTCGAGCCCCACGTTGGGCTCTGTGCTGTCAGTGCAGAGCCTGCTTGGGATTCTCTCTCTCTCTCCCTCTCTCCCTCTGGCCCTCCCTCTCTTATACTCTCTCTCTCTCTCAAAATAAATAAGTAAACTTTAAAGAAAAGAGTGTGTGTGCATGCGTGTGTGTGCACACGTGCGTGTGCATGCGTGTGTGCGTGTGTGTGTGTGCACGTGCACTTCCTCTGGGGTTAAGCTGCCTGGCTTCAAATGCTAGGTTTGTTACCCATGCAAGTCACTTAACCTCTCTGTGCCCCGTGTCACTCTCATGATACCACCTCAGAGGAGTGGTGCAAGCGTAAAGTTATAGAAACATCTAGAACCTTCTAAGGGCACCTGGCGAATGCTTGGCAAATGTCGACATTTTCATTCTGCTTGTGAGATAAGGAAAACCCTGGAAGTGGGGAGATGCACCCAAGGTCACAGGCAAGTTGGATTTGTAGCAGAAAAGAACTGTGCCCGGCGGCAGCCCCTGCCCAACCCCTGGCCCAGCAGCCCCCCTTCCGCACACATTTGGAGTCACCCGTCATTGTGATTCTCGTGGTTAACCCCCAATCTCTGTAACCACTCCAGCTCTAGAGCCTGGATTTCTGCATCAACTTCCCTGAGGCCAAACTTCCGATCATATGACCCAAGCCGGACTCTTTCCTTGTTGCCCAGTCCCAGCTCCACACTCCTGTGCCCCAATTCCCATGTCTCAGCTTTCTCACACGGGCCCCGTCCCCCTTCCTTTGTGCATTCAGCACAGTGCTTGGCAGCAGGTAGGTAACTGGGCAGGGGGCGTTGGCTGCACTAGTCTCTGCTTCGTGGCTGAGTCTAAGGATTGAGACCAGGACCCCTACCTGTAACCAAAGCCAGTGACAGGAGACTGCCCCACACTGCTGGGCCCCTGGTGGCATATCCCGCTTTCTTGGACCCGTGGCTTCCTGGGCCCCATACTTTGTTGCAGCCTCATTGTTCCAGTTCCCGGGTGTTTGCCTGGCTGGAGACCAGAAGTAGCTGTGACTTCTGGTGCCAGACTCAGCCTCTGGGATAAACCTCCTCTAGCTGCACCTGCAGCCTGGCCAGCACCCCGAGAATTACCCTGGGCCAGTGGGTGTGTCTGCAGCCTATTCTCTTCGGGGCCAGAGCTCCTGGTCCAGCAGGCACCTCAGACCACACCGGCCACACCCTTTCCATTTCTTCTCCAGAAATGAACAGCAAAACGCCTCTGATTTGGCGTCCAATTCCAAATTCAGAAAACTCTTGCCCACCCAGCCAGACACTGGCTGATTCTGAAACCACTGCCTTTATAGATTAAGTTCAAACTAGAGTCATTCTCGAGGCCCTACAACATATGTCTGTTTAAACTCACCATTAATTTGTTTCATCACCAATTCTAGGCGCCAGAGGTACGAAAATTAGTAAGTCACATCCGTTATCTCCTGATGGAGAAGGCAGATGTGTAAGCAAATAGCTATTATACGAGGTTATAAACGCTAAAATACAAGTATCATTAAAATGCTGTGGGAATGTCAGTAAAGGAGGAATTAATCCTATGGGGAAGGGTCAAAGAAAGCTTCAAAATGGAGACCATGCCTGAGATAAGCTTGAAGCCCGGGTGGGAGCATGTCAGCTGGAGAAAGGAGAAAGGGCGTTCGACTCTGTGTTTGCTTTCCTCCGTTTGCACCCGAGGTCAACAGGGCTCCCTCCGTTAACCACATCTCCGTGTTTGTGAACCCCACCTGCACCAGTCCGCCCAACTTGTCTCTTTTGCTATTTCTCTCTCCTTCTTCTCTTCAATCTCCCGGTTCCCCATCGTCCCCTGGAGGCACCCTCTGGAAGGTTGTATAAGCGGTATCCTTAAATAGTCTTTTGTTTTTGTGATATACACAGCGTCATGTTAGGCATGTGTGCTCTTAATTTACATAAAAGGTATTGTGCTGTGTCATTTCCTTTCTAACACTGTTCACTCAGCACTCTTTTCAAAGATCAATGCATTTGCTGTATGGGCATTTAGTTTTTCCTTCTAAGTGCAGCATAGCGTTCTATGGTGTGTGCATACCTCATTTTTCCCATCATCTCCCTTAATAATGGACACCGGGGTGGCTTAATAGCTCTCTTCTTCCATAAAGAACATCCCCACATATGTCCTCTTACAGACCTGCGCGGGAATTTTTCTCGGTGGGATTGCTCAGTGATGGGCCATCCACATAGTTAGTTTTACGACGGGTTGCCAAATTGCTTTCAAGGTGCATGTCCTCAGCCAAGATTCATCGAGCACGAACCTCCTGCCAGGTGCTATTCTATCCACAGAGGATTTAGCCGTGAACGGAGTCCTTGCCTTCAGCGAGCTTACGGTCAAATGAGGGAGACAGCAATGAACTCTTAAGTGCACAATGAAAAACCACGCAGTGAAAAGTGCCGTGAAGACACTGAAACGGTAGGTAGGGGACAGAGAGCGACAGGGAACGCTATTTTAGGTAAGGTCATCAGAGGCGTCTGAGGGGTGCCATTCCATGGGAGGTCTGAAAGAGGTGAGGGAGTGAGCCATGTATTCGGTCTGGAGAAGAACATTCCGGGCAACAGCAAAGCTCCCAGACAGGAGCGTGTCGGGTGTGCATGAGCAGGAGGGCAGTGTTTGGGGTTGTTCAACCATGGGTTCAAATTTGACGATAATGCTAGTAAAATGCTTAGCACTGTGCTCAATTTGGACAGGCCATCACTATTATCAGATCGCCATGATTAGATGGGAAAGATGCCTTTCAGTGCAGAAGGAAGGAAGATGGGGGGGATTGGAAAGTGGCGGGAGGGGTAGGCGCCTGGATTGCGATAGCGGTAGTGGGATGTCGGTGTAAACAGTCCCAGAAAACTTTTTCATTGTTTTTGTCCTCACGAGGGTTTTGTGAACAGCTCTGGGGACCTGATGGCCGTCATCCATCTTCCTCACCATTAGAAAGCGCACCCACAGTATGGTCCCTGCAGAAGGGGGAGCTTCCTCAAGGACTGAGGAGGCACTCAGAAAATAAGCTGGACCAACGTGCATCCTTTGCTTCCCGGGAGCTTAAAGAGAACAGCATTTTGGCGAGGTGTTCGAGCTAAATGCCCAAACGATCAGCTAATTACTTGGGTCTGAGCACAGCTGAACAAATCCACCTTTCCAAGTCACCGCCAGAAGTTCGAGCAACTTCATTCTGGCTGGATTTCAGCACTGCACACCAAGAACCAGATGACCGGGGCCAGGAGGGACATTTCTCACTTACCTGCTTCCTTCTGTTAAAGAAAAAAAAAAAAAATACTACAGTGTAATCAGTTCTCCTGCCTACCGATCTGGTGAGGGATGGAGACAATATGAAGCACATTCGGCCTCACTAGAAATCACAACCATGCAATTATAAACAGAAATGAGAGACCGCTCTTTATCCGCCAGGCTGGCAAGCGTTAAAAAGATAGAAGGATCAACGATATCTAGAGTTGGGGAGAGCAGGGGGAATTGGGGACCGCTGGACACTCTCGGTGGGAGTTTTCATTGGCAAAGCCATTTCGGAGGCAATTTGGCAGCTTCCAGCGACATTTAAAACGGTCCTAGTCTTTGGCCCGGCAAAGTCCTCTTCTAAGCCAGCCTGAGAAACTACCTTGTAGATATGTCTGCACATGTGTACCCAGATATATACATATCTAGCTATAGCTAGCTAGCTAGCTAGAGTGAAGAATGCAATCAATCTAAATGCCCATCCATAGGAGTGTTGTTAAATAAATAAATCATGGCATGCCTGTACAATGGAGTCTTTGATGCATGTATTGCCAGGGAAAGATGTTCAAGATATACGATCGTGAAATAAAAGCCAGCTCTGGCTGATATGCAGGATAGAATCTCATGAATATAAAAAAAGAGATCTATATATGTTCATTTGCGTGTGTAAAGACTTTCCTACGGCGGGGGGGGGGTCCGAAAGGACACACTCCGACTGTTAACCCCCAACCGCTCCCCAGGGAGGGCAATGGGAAAGAGGGAAGGGTGCCTTGAAAGGTTTCTCTCTGTGTACTTCTAAGTTAGCGTTCACGTATGGCACGTGCCTTTAAAGGCAATTTTCTCAGAAAAACAGAAAATCGGGGGGCCGATCTGCATTTGTATTTCATATGCCTCATCTTCCTCCTCTTCAGGACCCATCCTGATCATCACTTTCAAACCCCTGAGCCTTTTCTCTTCCCTGGCGCATGACAAAGCCTGAATCCTAAGCATGCTCTTACTGTGGCTGATAGCTCTGTCAGCTGTTAATTATTCATGCTAATGGAAGGGGCTGGAGGCACAGATAATGCAAAATCAAGAGGAGTAAATCTTTCAGAGCCTCCGTCGACTCCTCTCCTGGATCCCCTGGGAACACCTTGCATACTGTAGGTATTTACTCAGCAATAAATATTGATTGATATGGATTGATATTTGTCTCTGCAATTTCACATCGCCCACATCCTCAGACGGGTAGATACACACCCCTGGGCAGTGCCTTCCCCACATCGGTACCGGCCCGGCCTTGCTTGCCCACGAGGACTAGCAAGCCCCCGTCACGAGCCACCAGTGGGCTATTCTGTTCTCGGATAAAACAGAGACGACAGGAGTCCTTGCTGTTACTTGTTTTTTTACACTAACTGATCAGTATGGCCTCTGGTGGCCCCGCCTCTCTAGTGGGTTTTCATCCAGCTTATGCTCAGCACGAACAAGCCACCCACAACCAAGATTTCACAGCCATGAAAGTGGCTACAATAAAAATAGATACCCATAACCCCAAATACTGATGAGGACGAGGAGCAACTGAAACCCATTTGCCGGTGGGAACGTAAAATGGTCCAACCACTTCGGAAAACCGGCCGTTTCTTACAATTATCCGTCTTAACCCTGTGACCCAGCAATTCCAGTCCCAGGCTCGCACCCAAGAGAAATGAAAGTAGAGGTCCACCGTAAGACTTGTACACAAACGATCATAGCAGCTTTCTTTCCGAGAGCCACAAACAAGAAGTGCCTCCAATGTGCGTCAACAGGCGAACAAGATTAAGAAGTCCTAGGACCAGCAAGAGTGCCGTGCGGTGTTGTTTAGGGTCTTGGGGAGAATTGATTGGAAAGGGGCATGAGAAATCTTTCTGGGATTATGGAAATGTTCTGCATCTTGACAAAACTCATCAAACTGAACATGTAACACGTGTATAGTTTGCTCGGGCCACAGCCTGGGGTGGGGGTGGGGGGCGGGTGCTTAAACAGCAGTAATTTGTTTTCTCGCAGTTCTGGAGCCTGGAAGTCCAAGATCAAGCTGTGGTCGGCACTGGTTTCTTCTGAGGCCTCTCTCCTTGGCCTGCGATGACTGCCTTCCCACCGTGTCCTCACCTAGCCGTCCTTCTGTCTGCTGTTGTGTGTGTCCTAATCTCCTCTTCTTATAAGGACACTGTCATATTGGATTAGGGTCCACCCGAACAACCTCATTTTGACGTGATCGCCCTTTGAAGGTACGATCTTCAAATACAGTCCCATTCTGAGATCCTGGGGGTTAGATCTTTGACATATGAATGGAGAGGGGGTATATAATTCAGCCCATAATAATAATAGTGCATTTTATCATAGGGAAGATGGTCCTCGATAAAAGAGGAATAAAACACAGGGAAGTAAAACCCCCCATATTCCTGGAAGCTGAGGAGGCTGAGAACTGGTGAACGGTGAGGATGTCTGCCATGCAGCGTTAAAGGCACAGTAAGTGAGCTACGATACCGTAAGAGCCAACATTTATTGCATGGAGACCCTTTACCTGTATCAACTGATTTAATCTTTGCAAACACACTATGAGGTATAGGCACCATTATTATCCCCATTTTATAAATGAGGAACTAAGGCCCAGCGAGCCTAAGGAATTTACTCAAGGTCACATAGCTGCAAAGTGGCCAAGCCAGGATTTGAACCCGAGCAGGTTGTGCCCAGAGCTGGCACGACCGTCACACGGCTCTGTGTCCACTGGCTGCAGAAAAGATCACTAATAGATGGGTACTTGGGAAAGCAGATGTGTCCTGAAGTCATGAGGTTCTCCTAGAGGAGGACAGAGGTACTCCAGGTTACAGACTGAAGGAGGTCCCTGGGAGAAATTAGCCGATCACTGCGTTACCTAAGTGCTTGACACATAGTAACTTTTTAATATAATTTTTTTAAGTTTCTTTATTTGTTTTTCGAGAGAGAGAGAGAGCAGGGGAGGGGCAGAGAGAGAGGGAGACAGAATCCCAAGCACGCTCTGCGCCGTCAGCACAGAGCCCGACATGGGGCCCAAACCCGCAGAACAGTGAGATCATGACCTGAGCTGAAATCAGGAGCTGGATGCTTAACTGACTGAGCCACCCAGGTGCCGCAATATTATTTTTGAGTACGCTTGACAGGTTTCTCTGCCTGCTACGTGCAGGTCTATTTCTCAAGGAATGTGGCCCCATCAATAACCAGAAAGTCCCTAAGTGTGTGTGTGTGTGTGTGTGTTAATGTTTCATTGAAGTATAACGTGCATATAGAAAAGTGCGCAAATTCCCCCTCCCACCCCCTTCCAGACATCACCCCTGCCACCAAGGGTAACCATGGCCTTACTTTTAAAGAACATGGATTGGTTTTGTCACCTTGTATCAGTTTCCCAGAGCTGCCATTACAAAATACCACAAACGGGGTGGCTTCAAACAATCGTGTCACAGTTCCGGAGGCTGGAAGTCCAAAATCAAGGGGTCGACAGAACCATGATCCCTCTGAAACCTGGACACCACTCGTACTGGATTAAGTGTCTTCCCTACTCTGATATGGCCTGCAACCACCCTATTTCCAAATAAGGTCACAAGTTGAGCTGTTGGGGGTTAGGACTCCAACGTGTATGTTTCTTCGAGGAGACACAATTCAACAACTCATAACACCATCCAGAAGGAAAATGAAGTTGTACGGCATGAAGTCTTGTGGCTGGCTTCTTATGCTTGGTGCAGCTGGCGAGATTTGTTCATGGGTATCATGTGTACTTGTCGTTAGTTCGCTCTCGTTGCTGTATTGTATTCCATTTGGTGCATATAGCATCATTTAGCTATCCATTCTACTGTTGATGCGCATTTGGGTAGTTTCCTATTTGATGCTGGTATGAATAGTGTTGCTCTGGATATTCAAGTACGTGTAGTCTGGCTAACTGACGTGTGCCTTCCTGTCGGTGTCTGTGTGGGGCTAGAATGGCTGGGTCACAGGCAGGCATATAGTCACCTCTTGTAGATACCGGCACACGGCATTCCAGAGGGATTTGACCAACCTGCCCCTCACCAGCAGTGTCTGAGAGTCCTGATTTCTCCCCCCGTTGGCACTTGGTATTGTCTTTCTTTTTCGTTTTAGCTCTTCTGATGAGTGTGCGTTGATGTCGCGCCATGTTGTTAATTTGCTTCCTTTTGTTTTTCATTCCAGCTTCACATCTCTCTTTGATCATCTTGTTTACTTCCTGGTCTCTTCATCGCCCGTTACCACAACTAGCATCTCAAAATCCCTTCCTTACAGTCAGATGTCTTGATCTACAGGGAAACCAGTGTCTTTCCCCATTTATCATCCTCTTACAGAACAATTTCTCTCGCAACACCTTTGAACAGCCTCCGAACTCATGTTGCAAAAGAATCCATGCCTGTTTGTTGATTATTTGGGTGTTTTTTAATGCCTTCAGAGCACAACTGGAACATGAAGTTGGAGGGCAAGACGCTTGCCATAACAAATTTATAGAGTCTGTAGTGCATACAAATCTACTTGTAACAAAGTAATCCCCCAACTTTGCTCTACGGCTGTCTTTCTTATTGTATGATTGTTAAATGCATTTCATGGTGCACTTATGTTAGAGTGTCAGATGGCTAATGGAGATAAAGCAATTCCTGAACAAAGAGGCTGGATATGAGGAGGCAGCCATCCCCTGCTTAAATTGCTACTACTGGCCCCTTTCCTTCCTTCTGCCCCCGCTGTCTAAAATGCAGCAAGTTTGGGGGCGCCTGGGTGGCTCAGTCGGTTAAGCGTCCGACTTCGGCTCAGGTCATGATCTCACGGTTCGTGAGTTCGAGCCCCGCGTCAGGCTCTGTGCTAACAGCTCAGAGCCTGGAGCCTGTTTCAGATTCTGTGTCTCCCTCTCTCTGACCCTCCCCCATTCATGCTCTGTCTCTCTCTGTCTCAAAAATAAATAAACGTTAAAATGCAGCAAGTTTGCATCTACTGTGGTTTTACAAGGAAGCAAAATGGTATCCTGGAAAATACAGGGCCGAGGGGAGGGTCAGTCACCTTAACTCCAAGCCCTGTCCTGCCACTTGCTGGCGATATGAGAGAGGGGCAGGGAGCTGGGCAGATGGGCATCCTTGAGGAAGCAAGTGACTCAGCAAGAGTGGAATGAGTCAGGGCCAGAGACCAGAAGCCAGTGAGGGATTGCAGTTTTTGTTTATTCTGGGCTTGTTCCCTTTTTGCCCCATCGTGTTCTGTGAAGTCTCTTGGAAGAGGCAAGTCTGTCTGGGGTACATTCGGGACTTGGGTTGGAGATATAAAGAGGAGCCACCCTCTCTGGGGCCGTGAGTTACTGTGGCCTAAGGGTCCTGGCTTCTCGGACCAGCTGCTTCTCTATCTGCAAGTGTCACCAGCTGGAAGTGATAGAGAAGGAAGGGCAATCACCTACCAATTCTCAGTTTTGAACCTGTATTGTTTCCAAAACTGGCCTCGAATAAGTCAGACTCTTGATACTTGACATTTTTTTAATGTTTATTTATTTTTGA